GTGGGAATCACTGTAGGAGCAATTGCTGGAAGGCTCATTTTTGCTTTGATTGTCTATCTCTGCTGCTAACATTTGCTTATACAGAACATGAAATAATTATATGTAAATACACATGTACATGTACTTATTTGTGAAATTATGATTATTTCAATAATGTTTAGTACAAAGTGTCAAAAGTTGAATTTGCTAATGTGCAAAGCAAAGCTGAACTACAATGTACATGTATAATTGCAAAGGAAAATGTACAACGTTACTAAGGTTGCTCCATAAATATACACTTACATTGTATCTAGTCACTACTTAATATACTAATAATATCCTGAAGTATACAGAAGAGATTACTGAGACTCAGTGCCCAGTGAGATTAAGTGCCCAGCTATACATGCAAGGTGGTGAAAAAAATTATAGGAATAGTTTTATACTGTTACACTTGTTAAGGATTTTAAAAATTCTTTTGCATAACTACTGTGCCATTACTATTACCATACAGTGTATTATGATGTATTTAATTATTTCTATAGAGCTGGGAAGGCTGCTGTTTAACTCCATTCGCTTCTTTTTCATTCAGAATGTGGAAGAAATAACACTCTGAAGATAATAATAATAATAATAATAATAATAATAATAATAATAATAGAAAGAAGAGCTATATTCACACCCTTATGTATTTCTGTGGATGGTCTCATGGGCAAGGAAGCTACATGTTTTGTGAAGAGAATTGGAGATGGACTGTCATCAAAATGGAATAAACCTTATAGTGAAGTGGTATGCTGGTTAAGAACTAGACTGTCATTTGCTATTATTAGAGCATCCATATTATGCCTACGTGGAGCTCGTTCCAAGTGGCGATCCATTAATACACCTGATGGAGCCACACTTGACTACATGCTACATTAATTGCATTATTATTATTTAGATTAGTTTTTCATTTGTATCTTTTTCTTTTTTTCTTGACTCATTTCTAATTCCCTAATCTGTCCTGCTCTAACATAACCTAATTTATTCCAATCTGTCCTTATTTTTATTTTTATAATAATAATAATAGCGAATACTTTAATTACTCAATTATTATTGCTACATACATCTACATGTACATTACATTATCATTATTATTATCATTATTATTATCATCATTGCTTTACTGATAATTTTGCTAATTAAAAAGGAATTAAATCAATTTTTATGCCATTTTGTAATTGGTACACTAGGTGCTGTTCGTTAAATGGAGGCATACGCTATAGAGAGTGTCCATTAAGAGAGACTATACTGTATACATGTACTCATAATACTTAAAGTGAAAGTTAATTAACACTTTACATAATTACATGTACATGTATGTAGTATGTACATGTAATTAAAAATCAAAATTTGCTCCTCAATATAAAAACACTGTCACTGCATACAATACAGTAATAGGAAAAGAGAGAGAGAGTGTCCATGTACATGTGTATATCCCTAACCTGTGATTGTGTTAAATGGAGTGTGCTCTTAACAAATGGTATGACATCATAATTAGTCATCTCGTGTCCGTTAATGATACCTACCAACCTGTACTGAGTACCAACTAATAAATAAGGACCTGGAGGAGAGAGAGAGGGACGGAGAGAAAAAAATGAAATTAAAATGTCCATAACTTGATAAATTTAAATCTGAATCAGCTCAAGCTTTCTACACAGCATAAGGACATCAATATGTATCAGAAAATGAAATAAAAAATTGGGGTGATTTTGGAGCCATTTTTTTGGAAAAAACCATGGGCTATAGACTATGGGTATTTTTCAGATTTTGGCCAATTTCTTAAAATGGCTGTAACTTGAAAAATTGAAGTCGGAATCAGCTTAAACTTTCTACACAGCATAAGGACATCAATATGCATCAGAAAATGTAATAAAAATTTGGGGTGATTTCAGAGCCAATTTTTGGAAAAAACCATGGGCTATAGCCTTGGGTATTTTTCAGATTTTGGCCAATTTCTTAAAATGGCTGTAACTTGAAAAAATTGAAGGCAGAATCAGCTTAAACTTTCTACACAGCATAAGGACATCAATATGCATCAGAAAATGTAATAAAAATTTAGGGTGATTTCGGAGCCATTTTTTAATGATGGGCTATAGCCTTGGGTATTTTTCAGATTTTGGCCGATTTCTTAAAATAGATGTAACTTGAAAAAATTGAAGGCAGAATCAACTCAAACTTTCTACACAGCATAAAGACATCAATATGTAACAGAAAATTTAATAAAAATTTGGGGTGATTTCGGAGCCATTTTTTAAATGATGGGCTAAAGCCTTGGGTAATTTTCAAAAATCAGCCATTTTTAAAATGCCAAAACTTCAAAAATTGAAGTCGGAATCAACTCAAACTTTCTACACAGCATAAGGACATCAATATGTATCAGAAAATGTAATAAAAATTTGGAGTGATTTCGGAGCCATTTTTTGGAAAAAACCATGGGCTATAGCCTTGGGTATTTTTCAAAAATTGTCTGCTTTTAAAAAATGGCTGTAACTTGAAAAATTGAAGCCGGAATCAGCTCAAATTTTCTACACAGCATAAGTACATCAATATGTATCAGAAAATGTAATAAAAGTTTGGAGTGATTTTGGAGCCATTTTTCGAAAAAACCATGGGCTATAGCCTTGGGCAATTTTCAAAAATTGGCTCAATTTAAAAACTCAAAAACTATTAGTTAAAATTAGCTCAAACTTTCTACAACAGTGGTGGCCATTATAATAGTGCCAGTAATTATTAATTAAAAGAGGTCACATGACTTGATTACCTCCTAATAATCTAATTAATCCAATTAATAACTGACAGTCCCTCCTCTCTCCATTAATAGTTGACACTTTACTTCTATCTATTAATTAAAAAATAAAATAAACAAAATAAATAATAATAATGAAGATTAATATGTACATGTACATATTAATAATACTATAATAATACTATACAATAAAAAGTTGTGAAATTAATTATTTCATTGATTCATGATTCATTACATGTTAAATGCATCACCATTAAATGACCAATTTAATTATTATTATTATTATTATTATTATTATTATTATTATTATTATTATTATTATTTATTAATTATTATTATTATTATTTTCAATATTACAAGTTCTCATGCCCCACCCACTCACCCACTAATTGCAGTTGACAGTCAAATTTCGTAATCTCCAACACTTTATCAATATTACCAGAGGTGGGCACTAAATAGAAACAATCATCAGTAGAGATACTACATTAAAAAAAAGAAAAAAGAAAGAGGGGAAGGACAGAGAAAGATTTAAATATATTCCTCCATTTTTCTCTCACAGTTGCAGTCTAGATGAGGCTCTTAAAGAAGTAGACATCTTTCTCTACTATCTCCGTATAACACGTGACAAAAAAAGAAACGACTCCGTATACTAAAACCACGTGCTTACCTGTGGTAAAATGGCCGCCAGTATTAAAGCGCTGA